TGATTTTTTCATGTAAAGGCCAAAAATGGTGATTTTTTGAAATGATTGTATGGGGAACGCCCCAGGGGAGTTCCAGACGGTGTGCCACTGGCATGGGTGGATCGGCCGTCCAAAGTTAGTGGGGGTCGGTCATACATTTGGACTCGATTGGAGCACTCTAAATGGGTCAAAGTGGGATTTTTCAAAATTTGCCCCTACCCAAAAGTTCGACCCAAGCCTGCCCGTATAACACAAAATCCTAAGCTTAATAAACATTTAGTGTTATAAAAGTTTTATAAAGCTCTACTTGTAATTAGGGAAAAAGGCCGAAAAAAAAATTATAAAATTGATTGATTGATTGATAAAAATAGAGAGGGAGTTATCGCTATGACAATAGAAAGCAGAAAAAAGATACTTCATGTTGAAAGCAAAAAGGATCTAAAACCAAAAAAAAAAATGTATGATTCGAAAAATAAAATTGATATATTGTAAAATTTAATTTTTTTTTGGTTTTTTAAAGTTAAAGTTTTATTTACTTACAGTAACGGACATAAGTATTGGCCAGTGAATTTTTCACAATATAGGCAAAGTATTTTTTAGAAAAATTCCAAGTATGCAGTTTAAAAATCCCTTCATTTTAGTTTATCAAAGTGCAAGTTTGAAGTTGCTTGAAAAAATTTCAAATTTGTATGCAGATTTATTGAATTTTCCTGAGTTTTGCACAAAGTTTACACATTTGATTTTTTGTGTGTTTTGGTGTAGTATGAACTATGTTTTTATAAAAAATTATCGGAAATAAATTAAAAACTTTCCATATATGTAATGCGGAAATTCGCTGTGCCAAAACTTTTGTTCGATACTGTACATATAAAAAAATACATACAGTAACTTCTCCCGTTACAATAGTAAAAATATGTAATATGCTTTGTAGTGCAATCTTGCGGTCCTTTAAATAGATATCAGAAATTTTTCGTATCAATAAACTCCCAAGCACAGGTTTGTAGTAAAAAAAAATATATCCTAACACTTTATTAAATATTAATCTGCATATTTTATTAATTCGTCGGAATATTTTTTTATGCATGTTACCGCATAACTTTGGATTACGTTATCCGTTTTCTATAATTCTTTTTTAAAGGAAAGGTGGTTCCTCAGAGGTAGTCTCCTACTAATTGAGTGTAGATCAGATAATTGGGCCACGAAGAAAATAACGGTACTCTTAAACGTATATGAGAATTGAAGTCGGTTTTGTTTTTTGTTTAAAATTTACTCCAGTGTAAACAGCTTCTATAAAAGAGTCGTAGGCCATATTTTTTTTATTATTATTTTCCGTGGGCCAAGGTTAAGAATTCAATGCTATTGGGTTTGGAGCTTTTTGGCCGGTTATATTGAATAAAACAAGTGTTTGCTTCTTCTCCTACGCGTTTCGACGCATATTCGCGTCTTCTTCAGGGAGTCTATATATTTATAAATACGAAAAACATAATAATAACGAATAAACGTGTTTAACGTGTCTTAATGTTTTTAAATATGTTTAATTTATGTTGTGATAATTTTACTGCTTAATATTAAAGTAAGTGTAATTAGTGTTAAATTATTTTGTATTGTCTTACTTGCTCCTTGTAATAATTATTCGTTATTATTATGTTTTTCGTATTTATAAATATATAGACTCCCTGAAGAAGACGCGAATATGCGTCGAAACGCGTAGGAGAAGAAGTAAACACTTGTTTTATTCAATATAACCGGCCAAAAAGCTCCAAACCCAATAGCATATTTTTTTTTGTTAGTTCAATTGTGGGACATTTGTATGAACCTCTTCGGCTAGTACTTCGGCTTTTGTTCTCTTTTTATATCGAGGCTAAGTGCATTGCTCGACGGGGTGATATCATTGCCAAACAGGATAGTATTTTATTTGCCATCAATAAACACTAACTTAACGGAGTTACAGTATTCCACATTGATGCGAGCCTCAAAAGCTCTGAATAATACTTGCGAGTATGGCTTTTAGTTTTTACCGCTCAGGTAGGTGGCAGGCCTATAGAAAATATTTCTTAATCAATAATTTTTCAAATACTTTTCGTTTGACACCTATATTATAATACATACTTTATCTTATTAACTTAATTGAATTAAATTTTCGAAATTGGTGGCAACTCGAATCAAAAATATTTTCAGTAGTAAGCCTTCTTAAACCTTTTTAATTTGATACCCATATTGCAATATTTATCTTACCAATTTAATTAAATTAAATTTTGAAACAGGTGGCAACCCCCCTCAAAAATATTTTCGCTTGTAAGCCTTCATAACTTCTTTCTTTTTACACCCATATTGCAATATCTAATTTATGTCATTAATTTACTTATACTGAAATTTTTAAACAGGTGGCAACTCTACTTTTTTCTGGTTTTAACCATCCGGATATTATAAAAAACAAACCAAAAAAATAAAAATATTCAAATCGGTCAAGCCGTTTTCGAGTCTTAGCGAGGCTAACGGACAGCAATTCATTTTTATATATAAGATATCTTCTTTTAAAAATGCGCAGGCTCGAAATTGACTTTAGACTATGGTCTGGAGAAATTTTTTTCTTAGAATTTTATGGAGAATCCGATTATGCTAGGAACAATGTCGAAAAAAATCGATCCATACAAATTGACCCGCCCTAATATATATATATATATATATATGTGGTTAATTTTTTTTAAATACATTCATACATATCGCTTATTTAATTCAATAGTGCCTTAATCTAAAAATTAAAAATTTTTAGGTAAGTATACGTTATAAGTGTTGTATAAAAATTTTATAGCTGTATCGATTACCACTATCTCGCTAGAATAAAATATGTATTCATTTTACTATGGGAGTATATGCAAATTCAAAATTTTAAAGCTATTTATCTCGAGTGCTGCTTTTTTGAGTTGTTACGTTATTGAAGTAAATGAGCAATATGTATAATTAGTTTACCTTTCAAAATTTTTTTCTCGGATTACCTTATCTGCTCTAAAACTTTTTCTTCCAAACTTTGAAGATCCGAAAAAAGTATAAGAAACAGATGTTTATGTTTATAAAATTAATTAAT